CACAGTCAGGGTAAATGCATTGCAGAGACAGAATTCTTCCCTTGGTCTGACTCCAATCCGCAACTAATACCGTCCTCTCCCAAAGGCACTTTTTGGCCGGTTTTAAAAATCCATTTCCTCCTGCAATTAATCTACTTAAATTATGCTGAGTGCTTTGAGTCTCTGCAGGAAAACACTAAAATGACCTTGTAGCCTTCCTAAATTGTGACAGTGCAGGCATGAAAAACTGAATAAACAAAATGAAAAGAAAGACTATAAGACATCAGATAACTCACAACCAGTTTCCTCTGAGAACAAGAAACAGAATGGAAAAGAACAACTTACTGGCAAAGGAATGTTCTTCCTGGTTGTATGCCTGAGGGCCAGGATTGACCTCAAGAAGGTCATTTGTGACCCTAGTAATGTCCTCTGCCATTCTCATTCCCATGAATGAAGTAAACTTGTCACTTAAAGTCATCTCTGCCATCAAGTCAATGCTTCCACAGGAGAGTCAATGCTATCCAGTGGAATGAGCACCTATCTAGAAATCCAGTGATGTGGGCAAGATTTGGCTCTGCCCTTGCATAGCCAAGTGACCCTGCCAAGGTCATCTCACTCTTTTGAAGTCTCAGTACAAAGGACACACCTGAAAGAACTGAAGTTCACTTCCTGAGCTAAGAAGCCAGGACTTTTTTCTTTTCCCATAACATTCTATGGTCTCAACACAGTGTTTAGGAGTAAGGGCTTCACTTACATAAGAATTAAGAATTACAAATCTGTGGCTGGGCGCGGTGGCTAACGCCTGTAATCCCAGCCCTTTGGGAGGCTGAAGTAGGCGGATCACAAGGTCAGGAGTTCCAGACAAGCCTGGCCAACATAGTGAAACCCCATCTCTACTAAAAATACAAAAAATTAGCCAGGCATAGTGGCAGGCGTCTGTAATCCCGGCTACTCAGGAGGCTGAGGCAAGAGAATCACCTGAACCTAGGAGGCGGAGGTTGCAGTGAGCCAAGATAACGCCATTGCACTCCAGCCCGAGCAACAGGGCGAGACTCCGTCTCAAAAAACAACAACAACAACAACAATAACAACAACAACAACAAAAAGAATTACAAATCTGTGTCTGTGTCTGAATCTGGGCTCTGTTACTTACTGGCTGTGAGACCTTAAGCAAATTACTTTTCAGTTTCCTCACATGTAAAAATGAGGGTGACTGTATTATCTACCTCATAGTGTATGAGGATATACATAATACATTTATATCCTAGCTGGTACAATGTAAGCATTCAATAAAAGTAGTAACTATAGTATCCCTGCGTTTGATTCATAGATCCTAGTGGCTCAGTACCTTTGAACTAAAAGATGTAAATTTCAAAATTACCTCAAAAAGACACCCAGCATAGCTTGGCTGGGCATGGTGGCACACACTTGTAAACCCAGCACTTTGGGAGGCCAAGGCAGGTGGATCACGTGAGGTCGGGAGTTCTCACCAGCCTGGCTAACATGGTGAAAGCCCATCTCTACTAAAAATACAAAAATTAGCTGGGTGTTGTGGTGCATGCCTGTAATCCCAGCTACCTGGGAAGCCGAGGTAGGAGAATCGCTTGAACCCAGGAGGCAGAGGTTGCAGTGAGCCAAGATCACATCACTGCACTCCAGCCTGGGTGACAGAGTAAAACTCCCAAAAAACAAAACCCAAAACAAGACTCTCAGCATAGCTCCCTAACATAGAATGGGGTGAGCCCATATATGGTTACAATTCTGTGGTCTGAATCCTCATTTCGCTTTGCCTTACATTTCTCTGAAACTAAAAGGGGATAAAAATGCCTTGTAAAATCTTCTCTAGTACGGTTTGGGGATTTTTATTTATTTTTTGGGAGACTGAGTCTCGCTCTGTTGCTCAGGCTGGATTGCAGTGACACAATCTCAGCTCACTGCAACCTCCGCCTCCCGGGTTCCAGCAATTCTCCTGCCTCAGTCTTCCGGGTAGCTGGGATTACAGGCGCCCACCACCATGCCAGGCTATTTTTTGTATTTTTGTAATTTTGTTTCATCACGTGTGCGAGGCTGGTCTCAAACTCGTGACCTCAAATACCACCTGCCTTGGCCTCCCAAAATGCTGGGATCAGAGGCATGAGCCACTGCACCCAGTCTCTAGTAGTTTTGACCAAAGAAAAAATATGTAAGTATAAATGAGATAACAGAATAATTTGTCATAAGAATTAAATAAGATTCCATAGACACAGCCTATAAAGCATAAAGCTTAATTTCTGCTTGAAGAAAAACCTGAGGTTCACAAGTTTTCAACATAAACTCAGATCTACTGAGATTTCCTGAGAGTTCAAGATTTCTAGAGTGGTCAATTCCATATCTTAACAAGGTGGCCACGGGTGTAAGGGGCTAACATGGAATGAAGGTGGTCACCAATGCTGAAGGGCAGGTTGCTCCAGAAATGCCTGCTGAATAAAAAAAGTGTACATATACGCTCATTTTTATCACCTTGTCTAGCCTTAGTAAAAAAGAAACTAAATCATAATAGATCTACAGCATTCTTCATATTTGGTTAACTTGATGACTGAGCCAAATGAGCCTGAAATGACCAATGTACGAAATGCATGGCAAACCCTATTTTCACTTGTAGCTTTGCCTCTCTCTTCCACAGTGAAATATTATTGTAAATAAAGATGAGGGAGGGCTTCACCTAAGCACATCAAGACATAAAGCAATTAAGATTTCCAACTCACTGGTCTCCTCTCAAACCCTGATTTAAAGGTTTCCATGCAAAACTGGAACTGCAAATATTTTGTCCTATCCAGTCTTAATTTTACACATTCTTCAGGATAAGCATATCCTAGAATCAATATCCCACAGTCTGAAGAAAGTACTAGGCCTTTGAATAGGTCCTCGTATTTGGGGACACCCTAAGGAACTGGTGATGTTTGAAAAACCTCTCCAGTGAGCTCCTTACACTATGCACTTGGTAGTTCCTTGCCGCTTGGCATAAATTACCTCCATACACAGAAGACTATCTGTAATATTCTGAAGCTTGGTTTTAAGGAATGCAGACTCTTCAAGTTTCTGTACATATTCTTCCCCATTATCTACCTGGATTAAGGAAAAATGCAGCAATTTACTTTGTAAATCTTCCCTTTCACAATAGAAGCCAAGGAGTACAATTTGAATACCTAGCTGAAGAACCCATATTCTATATGGTTACAATTCTGTGGTCTGAATCTTGAAGCAGCACAACAAATTCTTACGAATTATAGTCTTCCATTTAATACACTCTAAACACCCAGAAATCAAAGTAGATGATCCATTTGGAAATATAAAATTATCTGGAAGTTTGATTAGTCAGATTTATGTTGATAGCTGATGTAGCCGATAAAATTACAGTCTCTGGCATGAGGCAACCTGGGTTTGAATTCCAGCTCAACCACTTACTGAGTGACAATAGACAAGCTACTTAACCTCTCTGATCCTCAGTTTCCTCATCTACAATATGGGGATGATAATGCCTACCTACTGGTGTTAAAATGTGCCCCAAAATAGCAGTTCTCTTCTTCTGCTTATCAATTCCCTTCTCCAGAAAATGTAGTTGCATTCACACAAAACTGACTAAATTTGAAAACGATAGGAGTTTCTTGAAATTGGTATGAAAACAAGAGAGTACCATCTAAAGCTAAAAAGGACTACCTAACAAAAACAAGGAAAAACGAATTAGGAAAACACAAAGGTTTAACATAAATGTGTTTCCATGGCCCTCACACATTGGAAGGAGCAAATGTAAAGCAATACAAGTAACTATGATTCAGATTCAGTAGAAAAGGAACATATCCCCAACAAGTTGACTGGAATGACTCTGGATTGGAATAAAAACTTTTTGAATATAAACCAGAAAGTGTTGACAAGTCCTGTTCCTTAAGAAGCTATGCACTGGCTTTTTTTGGTTTGGAGCTATTTATTTGAAAAAACAAACAAAAAAATCAAAGTACACATGGGAGTGGGTGTACTTTCTAGGCACATATACAAGGAAATAAATCAAGACTCAAAATTTCTGGCTAGCTCCCTTTCCCTTAAAGGAGAACCTAACAATATTTACTCAACAAATAACTACCAAGTACCTAATATTTGCTAATGTAGCTTTGGAAACTCAGCCATGACCTGTATCCTTCCCAGAGCAGCAAATTTCATATACAATATCTCAAAACTACTTGTATGGTCCTGAGACTCAAAATCTGTAACTGCTCCATTAATACACTTCCCCAGTCCGAAAATATTCCCTAAAATCCTTCCTATATCAGACTTAGTCACTTTAAATCTGACACTACTTAATGCTGTGCCTCCTAGGCTCGGACAGAGCACACCTATCAACAGGATCCCTCTCTCGGTTTACTTGCTCCTCACATCACATCCCAGGTCCGTTGACTCTGGACTCCAGGGCTCCACCAAAACCTCAGTGTTTAAATGCTTGCACTCTCCAGCAAAATCCCTGATCTGATTCTACCGTTCAGCTATGCCCCTAGCCCTGATGCCTCTCTTCCTACACCATGCACTCACACAGTGGATTTCAGGGCCACTTCCAAACTAGGTCACACTAGCATCCCTTCGAGAGGATCTCAGATCCTCTCACCCTGTCACTTGGGTTTCGGTGTTTCCAGACCTGGAACCGTGAGGGCCTGCACACCCCCATCTTGCGCCATACATGTATCAGGAAAAGCACCTCTGAAAGTGAGTGTCCCCCATTCCAGGCCGTGGCCTAAGCGACCCCCAAAGTACCCGCCAGGCCATCACCCTCTCTTTCCCCTTAAAGCCTCTAGGCTCGCCCTCCTGCCGCAACCCCACGCCTGCGCCGCAGGGGGTCACTGCCCCAGCTGCCCTAGCCCAAGACGCGCGCATCCCCGCAGCCTCAGATTCCTTCATCATCCCCTAGGCCGGAGCCGGCGCGACCAATAAGGTGCCAGGTCCGCGGCCTCCCCGCCACCGACCAATCACGAGCGAGCCCCCCCGCCGTCGCCTTCCGCCAATGGGAGAAAGCCCGCGGGCCGGGCCGATGAGGCACACGGACCACACGAGCGCGGCGGCGGCGACAGCGGCGGGCCAGGCAAGAGCACAACATGGCGGCGAGCAGGCCGGACCGAGCTACAGCAGCGGCCGCGCGAGGAAGTGAGGTCTCTAGCGAAAGCGGGAAGCGCTGCCCCTCCCCCCGTCGCCGCTCCCCTATCACCCTCGCACAGAACCTCCCGCACACTCACACGCCTCTGCTCAGGAGTCCAGGAAGAGTAGGAGCCGCCCCCGCGCTCCTTCGGAGTCGGGCAATGCAGAGGCCCAGGCACGGCGGAGGGGAGGGGGAAGCGTGCGTCACGGAGAACGGAGCGCGCGAGAAGCGGGGGCACAAGCAAGATGGCGGCCACGCCGTTTGCACCGTCTCCGCTTTTCCCCTCCCCCTCCCCTGGCGCCTGGACTCCCAGTATCGTGCAGCGCGCAGAAGCGCTGCTGCTTGAGGTCTCGCGAGAATTGGGAAGGGGCGACGACAGAGTGAAGCGGAATGAGAGCTGGGAGTTTTAACACCGCCCTCTTTCGGAAGCTCGAGATCTCAGAGTTTTGACCCCGCCCCCTTTCGGGGATCTGGAGGCGCTGCCAGGTGACCTCCACCACGCTTCCCACCCTTGTGGATCTGTGTTTGGTGCGAGCTTGAATGTTAAAAGATAAGTAGGTGTGTGCGCGTGCCCTTGAACTTTAGGAACTAAGGAGGGGCGTGTGTGCGTATTCGTGTTTTTAATTTGGGGAGAAAGAACTGGGGGATGAAGGTCGACATGGCATGCCAAATTTTTTTTTTTTTTTTTTTTTTTTTTTTTTTTTTTTGAGATGGTGTCTTGCTCTGTCGCCCAGGCTGGAGTGCAGTGGCGTGATCTCGGCTCACTGCAAGGTCCGCCTCCCGAGTTCACGCCATTCTCCTGCCTCAGCCTCCCGAGTAGCTGAGACTACAGGCGCCCGCCACCATGCCCGGCTAATTTTTATTATTAGTAGTAGTAGTAGTAGAGACGGGGTTTCACTGTGTTAGCCAGGATGGTCTCGATCTCCTGACCTCGCGATCCGCCCGCCTCGGCCTCCCAAAGCGCTGGGACGACGCTAAATGCTAAATTCGGCATGCCGTTCAAGTAGACAGCTACTGGCACCTTAGATTTATAAAAGAGCATTTAACACCAAACTGTAAAGTGATATTCTCCAGAATAAGGAACAGTACTTACCAAGAATAGTTAGCTTGTAACTTTACGTCGACATAGTTGTTCTCATTTGAATGCAGATTTTAAAACTTCATCACGCAGTTGGAAACCACAGCTACCATGAGCATGGACTTTTAAATACTTATCTCTCTTCATTTCCATGACCACTTGGTCCAAAGGCATCAGGATTATATCCATTTTACAAATGATAAAACTGAAACTCAAAAAGGTTTAAGTAATTGATCTAAGGCCCCACAGCTAGTAAGTGTCGAAACCCAATATGAACAACTTCAAAACCTGTAGATATAGTCATCAAATGTGTCTTGAATGGAATTACCTACAATGAGAGTTAGTGCATTAGGTAACAAGCCCTGAGAGGAATGACTGCCTCTGCTGATGGTAACCTTGAATTTTACAAATGACATTGGAACCTTTCTGAGACTAATGTTGCGTGGGTCCTCAACAAAATCACACTGTTACTCAGTTTCTTTGGGTTTATAACCCTGGTGATAAAGTAATTGAGAATAGTGGAATAAACCTTTGACTTGAATTCAGGAAAATTGTTCTCAAATCTAATTTCAGTAAATCTCACATCAGGCACTCAATATTTGATGAATGAATGAACAAAACGTAACTATGAGACAGTTGACTTCAGGGAGTCCCAATTCCTTCATCTATAAAAAGATCTAATTCCTCACTCTTGGTAATGTTGGGGAGAGTGAATGAAATAATGTGAGAGTGCTTCCTAAATTGCAGAAGTGTTGTAAAGAAGTTACTGATAAGAGCTATGAGCGTCTCACTGCACTCTAGCCTGGGCGATGGTGCAAGGCCCTGTCTCAGAAAAAAAAAAAGTTACTTATAATGACATTTTCAGACATGAGAAATGGCATAAAATTAAAAACAGGGAGACTCCAAATAAGAAAATAGTATGTTGAGATTGTAGAGACAGATGTAGCTAATGGAAAAAGGTGAAGTAAGTCTCTACAGATATTTATTGAGTAATTATTGCATATACTATGCTTGCCAAAGAAATGTAAAAATGTACATTTAGTTACAATGAAGCAGCGCAAGTTATTATTTGTGATTATTGTTATCATTAAGTATTGACCACACTTACGGAGTGCAGTCCATTTCCTTCCAAGAGCCTGGAAATTGGGTTGCCCTCAGAAATAAAAATCTACATAGAGGAAATTAGCTAAGATTGATATTAAATATATTTAACAACAAGTAGTGCTCAAGCATAGAGGAAGCAGAATTAGAAATGCAGCTAGGATCCTGGAGGTATCCCTGTGTGCTAGGTGTTAACCCTTCAGTTGCTGGTTTGTGACTAGTAGGTTCCAGGGGATCCCAGGGAAGGGGAGTGGTCCGGAGGTTTGGGACAGCAGCTATTTACCAGATAGTACTAGAGTATTTCAGTATTTTAATAGTCAATGTTATAACTGATAACAGTCAACTGGTACATATAAGCCTAATATTAGTCCTTGCTATTGTCTGTATTATCAATAGCCTCTGCCCTTCCCTTTCTAAAGCCCTTGCTATCTGGCCTGTCCCTAGGAGATGAGGGTGAAAGACTTCTCACCCTAATGTCATCAAGCTTGGCCTTGTTTTGACCAATGAAATATCGGTAGAAATGGCATGAACCATCCAGGCACGGTGGGAGGCCAAGGTGGGTGGATTACGAGGTCAGGAGTTCAAGACCAGCCTGGCCAAGATGATGAAACCCTGTCTCTACTAAAAATGAAAAAATTAGCTGGGTGTAGTGGCGTGTGCCTGCAATCCCAGCTACTTGGGAGGCTGAGGCAGGAGAATCACTTGAACCTGGGAGTCGGAGATTGCAGTGAGCAAAGATCGCGCCACTGCACTCCAGCCTGGGCGACAGAGCAAGACTCTCTCAAAAAAAGAAAGAAATGACATGAACCACTTCTGAGCAGAAATTATGAGCTATCTTATGATTTTGCCATATTATCTTTCCTCTGACACAAGAGCGGCATGTCCTAAATAGAGCTACCTCTTCAGCTTTGGTCCCAGAGTGAAGATGTGTGGAGCCACAGCTGACACACATAACCTGTAATGTTGTGTGCACAATAAATAAACCTTTTTTGTAAGCCACTGAGATTGTTTTCGTTGTTGTTGCAGCATAACATGCTAGCTAAGCAGACTAATACAGCCATGAAATTAGCTATCAATGGGGGTAAGCCAAGAAACTAGCCCGCCACCTCGCCCGGCTAGTTTTTTGTATTTTTTAGTAGAGACAGGGTTTCACTGTGTTAGCCAGGATGGTCTCGATCTCCTGACCTCGTGATCTGCCCGTCTTGGCCTCCCAAAGTGCTTTGATTACAGGCTTGAGCCACCGCGCCCAAGCCAAGACCTTTTTTACAAACATGACCAAAAAAAAAAACAAACTCTGATCAAGGGCGTATGGGAGGAATCTGAAGACGCCAGATATGATTGTAATTTAATAAATGGAACCTAATCAATCCTGTCAGCCATTCTGTACCCTGTTTGGAGAAAGTCTGTGAACAAAAGGACTTGCTCAGCCATGGCAGTCCAAAACAAGGCAGTCACAAAGGCTAGCACTACCATTGCCCCTCTAAGCCTCATCTCAGTTAAACCACACTGAGCATTAGGATTTCCTTGTCCATATCATCTCTGTAGTGGATGGGAATATCTCAGACTGCCTCAGCTAAGAAATGCTTCTTAAGATCATGCTTTCCTCGAATGGTGTGAACCCGGGAGGTGGAGATTGCAGTGAGCTGAGATTGTGCCACTGCACTGCAGCCTGGGCGACAGAGCAAGACTCCGTCTCAAAAAAAAAAAAAAAAAAAAAAAAGATCATGCTTTCCTCTATGTTCACCCAGCAAGTGTCTTGGCGATAGGAACAGAATTCAGTGATCTGCCACCTAGAGGATTCTAGTTCTTTTGATAATTGTATTTTTCATTGTAACTAATCAGATTCCTCTTTATATAAAAGTTTCTGTGAGCTTAGCAAATATAAGACATCCCCCACCTCCAGGAAATGGTTCAACTTTCTGCTTACTATTAAAATTAGGTTTCTGAGTTTGCAAGGTTAAACATCAGTTCTTCTATCATGGTAATTTCCATAAGGTTATAGCACTGTATAACGGGACCTGTCTAGACAGCCAGCTGGACTTCCTTAAGCCACACCTTTCTATCTCATTGTGTGCCTTTGGCCTAAAAGGAAAGCAGCGCTGGCCAGGCGTAGTGGCTCACACCTGTAATCCCAGCACTTTGGGAGGCCAAGATGGGCAGATCATGAGGTCAGGAGTTCGAGACCAGCCTGATCAACATGGTAAAACCCCATCTCTACTAAAAATACAAAAATTAGCTGGGCGTGGTGGCATGTGCCTATAATCCCAGCTACTCAGGAGGCTGAGGCAGGAGAATCACTTGAACCCGGGAGGCAGAGGTTGCAATGAGCCGAGATCGTGCCATTGCACTCCAGCCTAGGTGACAAGAGAGAAACTCCGTCTCAAAAAAAAAAAAAAAAAAAAGCAGCACTAAAAGATATAGTTCATGTGCTGCTGGAGTTCAAAAAGGGAGTGCTTACTTCCACTTAGTGTGAAATAGTGGGAGCAGTTCGGGAAAGATTTGCAAGGATGTGACATTTCAACTGGGTCTTGAAAAATGAGTAGAATTAGGGAAGACGTGTAGGCAGCCACTAAAGCAAATAGAAAAAGCGAGGGATCAGTTGAGGAAGCACAGAGTAAGAGGGAACGCAAGAAGAATCATATGGAAAAATACATTATTATGGTCAAATTAAGGCTCTTGGGCTTTATTTTTTGCTATGGGAAGTGAGTGGTAGAAGTTTTTTGTTTTGCTTTTAAACAAGTTTAACCATCTAGTTTATTTATTTAGGAGACAGAGTTTTGCTCTTGTTGCTCAGGCTGGAGTGCAATGGTGCAATCTCGGTTCACTGCAACCTCCGCCTCTCGAGTTCAAGCGATTCTCCTGTCTCAGCCTCCCGAGTCGCTGGGATTACAGACACATGCCACCAGGCTTGGCTAATTTTTGTATTTTTAGTAGAGACGGGGTTTTGCCATACTGGCCAGGCTGGTCTTGAACTCCTGACCTCAGGTGATCCACCTGCCTTGGCCTCCCAAAGTGCTGGGATTACAGACGTGAGCCACTGCCTTGCCCCTGGCCTAAGTTTAACCATCTTGAAGTATACATTTCAGTGACATTAAGCCTGTTCATGTTGTTGTGCATCCATCAGCAGAATTTGTCATTACCCCATACTGAAACTCTGTATCCATTAAACACTAACACACTATCCTCTTTTCCCCCAGCCTCTGGTAATCACCATTCTAGTTTCACCTTTTGGCCACTATGAATGATGCTTCTGTGGACATTAGTATACAAATATCTGCTGGAGTCCCTGCTTTTGATTGTTTGGGGTATATACCCAGAAGTGAAGTTGCTGGATTATATGGTAATTCTATGTTTGTTTTTTTGTTTGCTTTTGTGTTTTTTGAGGAGCCACCATACTGTTTTCCATAGCATCATACCATTTTACATTCCCAATGGTAGAAGGTTTTACAAAAGATAATGACATGATCAAAACTATGCTTAAAAGCAATCTGGAAAAGAGAGTAAGATGGAACAGAGTGGCAGAATGACCGTGTGGAGACTTTCACAATAGTTTAGGCAAGATACAATGAGGGTGAGGGCCTGAACACATCAGCCGCAGTGAGAATGAGGGAAGAGGATACAAATGCTGAGGTGATACTGCCAAGGAAAGATTGTAAGGACTTGACCATTGACTAGCTATTGAGGGTTGGGGAACAAGAAAATTAAGGTTTGTTTGTTTGTTTGTTTGTTTGTTTTGAGACAGAGTCTCACTCTTGTCGCCCAGGTTGGAGTGCAGTGGTGCAATCTCGGCTCGCTGCGAACTCCGCCTCCTGGGTTCACGCCATTCTTCTGCAGCAGCCTCCCTAGTAGCTGGGACTACAGGCGCCCACGACCACGCTCGGCTAATTTCTTTGTATTTTTTTAGTAGAGACGGGTTGGGTTTCACCGTGTTAGCCAGGAAGGTCTCAATCTCCTGACCTCGTGATCCACCTGCCTCAGCCTCCCAAAGTGCTGGGATTACAGGCATGAGCCACCATGCCCGGCCAAATTAAGGTGTTTAATATGACTCCCATGTGTCACACCTGGGAGGATGGTAGTCTTCAGATGAAGAGTCAGGGTATGGAGAAGTCATGAGTTCGGGTTTGGATATATAGAGTTTGAATTACAAGTGGCACATTGTAAGCTGTGGGGTGGACATTTGTTGTCTTGCCTGCTGAATACCCCTTGCCCTTTCAACTGGTAATGGCACTCTACTTTTTTTTCTTTTGAGACAGAGTTTCACTCTTGTCACCCAGGCTGGAGTGTAGTGGGGTGATCTCAGCTCACTGCAACTTCTGCCTCCCAGGTTCAAGCTATTCTCCTGCCTTAGCCTCCCGAGTAGCTGGGATTACAGGTGCCCACCACCACACCCAGCTAATTTTTTGTATTTTTAGTAGAGACGGGGTTTCACCATGTTGGCCAGGCTGGTCTCAAACTCCTGACCTCAGGTGATCTGCCCTCCTGCGTCAGCTTCCCAAAGTGCTGAGATTACAGGCATGAGCCACTGTGCCCAGCATACTTTAAAAAACAACAACAAAAAAGATTGTAGAATTTATCCTTCTTCATCTCTATATTGGCTAGGCTGGGCGGGTGTGTGGCCATGAGAATGTGCTTCTCAGATCTCTGACTGGAGAAATTGTAATTTAGCAACAGTCCAGCTGCTGAGTTCTGAAATCCATCCTGAGCTTTGAAATCCATTGCCCTTTACTCCAAGGTCTTACTTCCCATACCCTGCTTCTAGCCAATAACTGAGCCCAGCGGGGATTTTAGGACAGGACTGTTCCTGGGATAAGTGATACTCTTCTGATGGATGACTTTGACCCAAGGACTCCTAAGTGGCTTTGCCAAACTTTCCTTAGAACTTTACTGCAGTCTGAGACACTTCCACCTTGAACACCTTCCCTCTGTCCTTCACTCAGGGTTAGGCCTGCGTCACTGTGTGATGGCTCTCTCAGTCATACCCTTCCATTTCCTCTCACAGGTGTTTTTCATAATAAATGTCTTGCATTTTATTCTGTGTTGGCATTTGATTTCCTGAGAATCTGAACATGTTAATGAGGGGAAAGAGGACAGGATGCATCTTACCATAGCACATCTTCTGTACCCCATTAGCCACAGGAGTAGGAACATGACCCAGTCTGACCAATCAACAATCTCCCCACATCTTGGCCCAGTGCCTCCTCTTAGTCTCTCAGGATAATTTGGCTCCCAAACAATTAGCCACTTGGTCCACCTCAACAACAGACATAGCTGACCAAATCTAAGCAAGGTCTCACAGTTCTGTTGCTTGAGGCCAACTAGTTACAAACATGGAGTCTATGGCTTCTCCTGCAACTTCCACACCCTGATGAAGCACCACCTCACAGAGCGTGGGATTTGGCTTCCTGAAAAGCTGCTGAAGGGGCTAATGAAGCAACCTACTACAGAGGATTTAGCTACCCACAGAGCAAACTGATCAATGGGAGACAGGAAGGAGCTGGCTATAACAATCCACTCTTCCCTTCCTTCCTCTAATGAACTGTTCAAGATAAAATTTCTCCATACAGCCTGTCTAGAGCGACATTCTGCCTGTCAAGAGACTAGCTACAGCTCATTGTGAAGAGCCAGCAAACATTTCCTTCCCTTGCTTCTCATCTTTTCCCACTTTCTCTTATCCCTAATTCTCACTACTCCAGGGCTGTGCCCCTCACATAAAACTTCAGCACTTAATCCCTCCTTCAGGCTTTGTTTTCTTGGAAACCTTGCTGAAACAGATCACAGTTTTTGAAGAGATGGGCACATCACCCAAACTAAGCTAAGCAAAGCCCTCCTAAAGATTTGAAATATAGGAAAGACAGGATTTTTCTTCTGGAGATCTTGAGCTATGAGGAACTGAGGGCAGCCATTATTCTTGCTTCATGGAAAGAGCCTGTCTGAGAACAAAGGCATCACAGAGGAAGGCAGAATTCAGACAGAGCGAGACAGAGCCCTGACATCCTTTGAACACCTAGATACAACTTTCCCCAATATGTGTAACCATTTGTCATTGCTTTGTCATTCTGAAGACTAGTTTTCCCAATCCATGTCATATAAAACATGGTAACCAATGAGTCCCAAGTTGCCTCCATTCAAAAAATCATCCAGGTGACTAGATTCTTAGGCTTAATTCCAAATTTCTGGGAGGAAGAGCTCTTGTTAGAGCTAACTTTGGCCAAATGTCCACCACTGAATCAAGTAATATTATGGAAAAGGGGACAGGGTCATGCATAAAAATGGTTGTGTCCACTGTAACTCTATGAATGAAGGTATGTTGGAGGGTGGGGGATAGAGTAACAGTTCTCAGAAAAGTAGGAGTAAAGGATTAGACAGACTAAACAATGTCTGTCCACTTCCTGAGAATAAATAAAGGGAAAGAGGGTAAACAGGTCAGAGGACAGAGCCTTTATCCAAACCAACACTATCCAACAGAGCTTTCTGCGTGGTAGAAATGCTTTATATCTGTGCTGTTCAATATAGTAGCCACTAGCCACATGTGGCTGTCAAGCATTTGAAAGATGGTTAGTGCAACGAAGAAATTGAATTTTTAATTTCATTTTATTTAAATTTAAATAGCTACATGTAGTATCTTAGTTAGTTTTCTGCTGCTGTAACAAAATACCAAAGACTGGGTAATTTATAAAGAAAGGAAATTTATTTGGCTCATGGTTCTGGAGGCTTGAAAGCCCAAGAGCATGGCACCAGCATTTGCTCGACATCTGGTGAGGGCCTTCTTGCCACACCATAACATGGCAGAAGATATCATATGGTTAGTAAGTGTGCATGTGAGACAGAGAGAGGGAGTAGGGGCCAAACGTATCCTTTTATCAGGGGTCTTCTCCCTCCATAACTAACTCATTCCCGTGCGTTAATCCATTTATGATGGCAGAGCCCTCGTGACCTCATCACCTCTTAAGTGTTCCACCTCTCGACATTGTTAAAATAGCAATTAAATTTCAACATGAGTTTTGGAGGGACATTCAAACTATAGCATGTAGCTAATGACTGCATATTAGATAGCATAGGTCTGAACTATTGGTCTACTTTGGGAAGCAGCATGGAATATTGTCTGTAGCACGTGCTTTCAAGTTAGTCTGAACTGAGTTCGAGTCCCCATTCCATTTACTTAACCTCTCTGAGCTAGAGAGGAGAAAGATGCAAAGCAAGTTGTATGTAATACCACAAAGAGAGAAAGAGACAAAAGATCTGCAAAAGTCCGGCCAGGCACAGTGGCTCATGCCTGTAATCCCAGCACTTTGGGAAGCCAAAGCAGGCAGATCACGAGGTCAGGAGTTCAAGACCAGCCTGGCCAACGTGGTGAAACCCGATCTCTACTAAAAATACAAAAATTAGCCGGGTGTGGTGGTGGGCGCTTGTAGTCCCAGCTACTCGGGAGACTGAGGCAGGAGAATCGTTTGAACCTGGGAGGCAGAGGTTGCAGTGAACCGAGATTGCACCACTATACTCCAGCCTGGTTGACAAAGCAAGATTCTGTCTCAAAAAAAAAAAAAAAAAAAAAAGATCTGCAAAGGATCAAAGAATCAGTTGGATTTGGCAATTAGGGGACTATGAGTGAATTAAGACAGAGAAATGTTAAAAGTGTGATTGTTTAAAATCCAGACCAGCTATCCATCTACCTTTTGTACATGGGCTAAATTCCTTTCCTCTGGAGGGGGACCCCAGGCAGGGAGAGAATGGGAATGCAAAATTTACCTTGTCTCTTAATCCTGTTGGTCACATGGGGAGCGAGAACTCACAAGTATGTCCTGAAGATAGAGTTCCAAGGTCAAGCCAAAAAAATCAGAATCAGAACCATGGTCAGTCATGGGGTGTGAAGCCAAAGGTGGGGTTGCCTAGTCCAAGGAAGCCACAACCTCAGCTCACCGCAACCTCCACCTGCCGGGTTCAAGCGGTTTTCCTGCCTCAGCCTCCCTAGTAGCTGGGATTACAGGCGTGCGCCACCACACCCAGCTCATTTTTGTATCTTTAGTAGAGACGGGGTTTCACCATGTTGGCCAGGCCAGTCTTGAACTCCTGACTGCAAGTGATCCACTTGCCTTGGCCTCCCAAAGTGCTGGGATTATAGGCGTGAGCCACCGCACCTGGCCCTGCTTCCTTTTTTTTAGAGATACTGAAAGAGGGATAGACTGATGATTCTCAACCGTTTCTGTCTTTGGACAAGTGGTCTGTAAGAAAAACAAGAAAACAGTGTTTTCCAACAGAATTTATTCTTGCCACTACCCACGGAACAGTAATGAAAGCCTTATATCCAATCTAGCTTACTTCTGTGACCGCCTGGTGCTTCACAAGCCACTGTGGGACAGTTAAGTCTCTGTAGGGGGTACAGGTTAAGATTAAGAATGATCCCTGCAGGCACCATAGGGCCATACATGTCAGAAACACGACCTTTCTTCAAGGTCCCTTGCCTTGGCTAGCAGTGTACAAAATAGGGTTAGGCAGGTCTTGAGAAAACGACTGTAAACATTAAGTGTGATCCTCAATTGTAAGCCTTATAGATCCTACTCAGCCATTAACCTGCTCTGTGACCTTGGGCAAGTCACTTAATCAAGTTCAATCTCAATATTTCCGCCTTATATGAGGCCGGCACGGTGGCTCACACCTGTAATCCCAGCACTCTGGGGGGCCGAGGTGGGCAGATCACCTGAGGTCACGAGTTCGAGACCAGCCTGGCCAACATGGTGAAACCCCATTTCTACTAAAAATAATCTTTTAAAAAATTAGCTGGGCATGGTGGTGCACACCTGTGATCCTAGCTACTTGGGTGGTTGAGGCAGGAGAATCGCTTGAACCTGGGAGACGGAGGTTATAGTAAGCCGAGATTGCGCCACTGCACTCCAGCCTGGGTGACAGAGAGAGACTCCATCTCAAAAAAAAGAAAAAAAAAAAATTCCGCCTGTTTTTAAAAAAGACATAGGAATAATTTTTTTACATTATTTTAAAATAAATTGTCTTAAGAGGGTAGAGGGAATGGGATAAATGATAGGTATTATCCTGTGCCTCTCCTTCTTGTCCATCCTGCCTCAGTTTTTGTATCAAATAAGATGGTAAGTGTTAAAATGCTCTGAAAAGTGCAAAACACCATACAAAAGCAAGGGAGTATTATTATCAACATAGTTGTTAGCTTAGGAGGATGAAGGCAGGGCACAGACTCAGAGCCAAACAGCTGGAAGGCAGGAAATCTTAATACCATAGAAGGAAACTTTTTTTGTTCAAATTCTTCCTGGAGTGGCACTTTTTTTTAGAGCAGACTTGGCACTGAAATCCTCTGAAATGCTGAAGTGGGTCCAGAAAAGTATTAAGGGGGCAGGTAGGGCATTCAGCAGCCAAAAGACACTGGAGAAACACCAGCCCTGGTTCCTCAGTTTCTTTGTGATCCAACAAAAGATACAATCGAAGGAGGAGTCAAATTGTATCAGCGGGTCTCAGATTCAAAGCCAGGTGGGTGTTGGATCCTCTAACAGGCTCTTTAACCAGCCACCAGACTATTTTGGGAGCCAGGATGTCAGGGGCACTCTGTAACTAATACTGAATTCAGGTGCCAACAACCTAAAAACCATTCTCTCTACACAGTGTTCAGAAAGAACACTCACCTGGAGAGGACTTTAGAGATAATCTAGTCAGACTGAGGCTCAGAGAGGGACAGGGACTTGCCAAGATAACACAGTAGAGTCAGGCTCATTGGGCTGCAGAAGCCTACCCAATTTAGCTCAAGTACAAAGGAGTTTCTTGTAAGGACTGGAACTGAAAGGCGGGAAGAAGCATAGAGGTCTAGGACTCACTGGTCTATTCATTCTCTATCTCCTCGCCACTCCTCATCGCTGGATAGGATTGCTCCTTCCCCCTCTACCTACAGTCAGGCTTCTGCCTTCTCTTGGTCTCTGCTCCTACTTATCTGGGCCTGCACATGGCTTTCCTGGCCAAGATCTACTTGTCTATGACTTTTTTTTTTTTTTAGGCAGGGTCTTGCTCTGTCACCCAGGCTGGATGGAGTTGCTCACTGCAACCTCCGCATCCCGGGCTCAAACGATCTTCCTACCTCAGCCTCCCAAGTAGCTGGGACTACAGGCATGTGTCACTATGCCTGGCTAATTTTTTTTTTTTTTTTGAGATGGAGTTTCACTCTTATTTCCCAGGCTGGAGTGCAATGGCGCAATCTCAGCTCACCGCAACCTCCACCTCCCAGGTTCAAGTGATTCTCCTGCCTCCAGCCTCCCGAGTAGCTGAGATAACAGGCGTGTACCACCATGACTGGCTAATTTTTTGTTGTTGTTGTTTTTGAGACAAAGTCTCGCTCTGTCACCCAGGCTGGAGTGCAGTGGCCCGATCTCAGCTCACTACAAGCTCCGCCTCCCGGTTTACCCCATTCTCCTGTCTCAGCCTCCCAAGTAGCTGGGACTACAGGCACCCGCTACCTCGCTTGGCTAGTTTTTTGTATTTTTTAGTAGAGACAGGGTTTCACCGTGTTAGCCAGGATGGTCTCAATCTCCTGACCTCATGATCCGCCCGTTTCGGCCTCCCAAAGTGCTGGGATTACAGGCATGAGCCACCACACCTGGCCTTATTTTCTGTATTTTTAGGAGACAGGGTTTCACCATGCTGGCCAGACTGGTCTTGAACTCCTGACCTTAGGTGACCCTCCCGTCTCAACCTCCCAAAGTGCTGGGATTACAGGCATGAGCCACCGCGCCCGGCCTAATTTTTGTATTTTTTGTAGAGACAGGGCTTTGCCATGTTGCCCAGGCTGGTCGTGAATTCCTGGACTCAAGCGATCCACTTGCGTCAGCCTCCCAAAAGATTGGAATTACAGGCGTGAGCCACCACACCTGGCTGTCTCTGACTTCTCTAATTCAACTCCCTCTGCCACCTGACAATTTCTTTTTTTTTTTTTTTTTGGTTTTGTTTCCTGAGACAGTGTCTCACTCTATCACCCAAGCTGTAGTGTAGTGGCATGGTACGATCTTGGCTCACTGCAACCTCTGCCTCCCAGGCTCAAATGATCCACCCACCTCAGCCTCCAAAGTAGCTGAGAATACAGGCATGCACCACCATGCTTGGCTAATTAAAATTCTTTTTTTCCTTTTGTAGAGACGAAGTCTCACTGTGCTGCCCAGGCTGGTCTTGAGCTCCTGGGCTTAACTGATCCTCCCACCTTGACCTCTCAAAGTGCTGGGGTTTCATGTGTGAGGCACCATGCCTGGCCAACAATGTCTTTCTGTTCCTTGGTTCAATAAGGCCTCGAATCGGCCCATCTTAGATTGTTGTGCTAGGCTGTCTTAGTTCATTTTGTGCTGCTATAACAGAATATCTGAAACTGGGTAATTTATAAAGTATAGAGATATATTTCTTACAACTCTAAAACCTGGTAAGTCTAAGGTTGAGGGGTCCACATCTGGCAAGGGCCTTCTTGCTGCGTATTCCATGGCAGCAGGTGAAGGGCAAGAGAGCAAGACAGCATGAGAGGGACAGAGAGAAGGGGAGAGAGAAAAAGAAATGGGGTTGAATGCATCATTTTATCAGGAACCCACTCCCTCAATATCGTCATTAATTTATTCATGATGGCAGAGCCCCCATGACCTAATCACCTTCTGAAGGTCCCTCCTCTCAACACTGTTGCACTGGGGATTAACTTTCCAGCACATGAGACTTGGGGAACACATTCACACGATAGTATACACCATTGGTCCGAGGACAGACAGCAGCGAATACATTAAATGGTGATCCTTGACTCCGGTGCTGGCCCTATCTGCTGAAGTCCAGAGGCTGGAGGGGTCAAGTGGTTTAAAGCGTGGCCCCAGCAGGGTTTGTGGTCTGGGCAGCTTAAAGTGAACGTGAGTGAGGCAGAAACTGTACCATCACTAGGACCATGTGATTGGAGCTCAGGATTCCAGATTTGCTGCCCAGAACATTTCCCATGAAATTGTCATTTCTTTATTCAGCAGACATGTCGTAATGCTTGTTAAATGTCATTTATGAATATCTTCCTCCTCCTTTTCTTCCTTCTTGCCCCCAGAAACTTATGATATAATGAAGATAAAGGCAGGAAATTAATTAGAAAACTTGAGCACTTTAGAAGAAGTATAAACAATAACCACTTACTGTAAGTGGTAGTTATTATTGTTTATGCGTCTTCTAAAGTGCTCATGTATTCTAATTATCTTCCTGTCTTTGTCTTTATTATATCGTGTATCTGATTGGTACATGTACCAGTCACTGCTGATCACTTTACATATATTTTCTCACTTAATCTTTACAACTCCCCTGTGATGCCAGCACATTTCACACATGTGGAAGGAAACAGGCGCAGAGAGTGATTCACAGATAATAAACAGCACAGCAGGGCTCTGATGCTAAAGCCTGTTCTGTTAACCACTGTGCAGTCTTCACCATGCTGTTAGAGCACAGGGAACCATCTTGGCCTAGGGAGAAGGACAGGGACGACTGGAGAAAGCAGTAGACTTCCAGGAGGAGGTGACATCTGAGCTCATCATGGGCAAGCCTTCCTCAGTCAAGTGTTGGCAAGGCTCACTGTAAACAGAGGAAGCCACATGTGGGAATAGCAAGATGCCAGCAGAGTACAGGGAAAAGCTAGAGTTGGGGTATGAGTGGGAAGAGGGCCAGGAGCACACTGCATGACCCATGAGTGAGTGCCTCCCTACTTCTGTATCCTCAGTCCCTTTTCTCTGACCCTATTCCTAGCCCTGGCGGAGAATGTGAAGATAAGGCCAGAGGGAACATTGAGAAGAAGGATCTCAGAGAAGATGGAAAATTCAACAGAACCTTGGAAATGCAACTGCTATTCCAGGACCTTTGTTCCTGGAATGGACTCTGAGAGTGCATGGTAAAGTCTAAAGTGAAAAATTCAAGAGGAGGGAGCTTTCTTTTACCTGACTTTTGGGTCTTATCTTAGTTATTACTTCCTTTAGGAAACATTCCATGGTCTACCAAGCCTGAGACCCTGAGATGCTGCCTTTTTTTTTTTTTTTTTTTTTTTTGAAATGGAGCTTTGCTGTGTCACCAGGCTGGAGTGCAATGGTGCGATCTTGGCTCACTGCAACCTCCGCCTCCCAGTTTCAAGCAATTTTCCTGCCTCAGCCTCCCGAGTAGCTGGAATTACAGGCACCTGCCACCACACTCGGCTAATTTTTGTATTTTTAGTAGAGACAGGTTTTCACCATGTTGGTCAGGTTGGTCATGAACTCCTGACCTCAAGCAATCCACCTGCCTTGGCCTCCCAAAGTGCCGGGATTACAGGCATAATCACTGCCTGTAATCCACCATGCTCGGTCTTTTTTTTTTTTTTTTTTCCTTCCAGAAATGGGGTCTTACCCTGTCACCTAGGCTGGAGTGCAGTGACACAATCAGTTTACTGTAGCCTTGAACTCCTGGACTCAAGCAATCCTCTGCCTCGGCCTCCTGAGCAGCTGAAATTACAGATGTGAGCCACCACACTGGTTTGGCAGCTAGGTCTTGTTTATCCTTCCACCCCCAGTAGAGCATGTGGCTCAGAGTAGCTGCTCAGTAAAAGACAGATGAATGAATAACTAATAGCCTGCAAGGAGCTTCTGCCAAGTCTTTCAGACTACATCGATTTTCTCTCTTGTCTCTGGAGTCCTACTGACCTCAACACTTGGAATCCTATGCATGTTTGAACCAGAAGAAATCTTAAAAATCACCTAGCTAGCTCCTACCATCTCACAGATGGCGTGATTGAGGTGATCACTTATTTGCCAACTGTATTAGTCTGTTCTTGCATTGCTATAAGGACATACCTGAGACTGGATAATTTATAAAGAAAAGGGAGGCTGGGCACGGTGGCTCATGCCTGTAAATCTCAACACTTTGGGAGGCTGAGGTGGGCTGACCACTTGAGATCAGGAGTTCGAGACCAGCCTGGGCAACATGGTAAAACCCTGTCTCTACCAAAAATACAAAAATTAGCTGCACATGGTGGTACATGCCTGTAGTCCCAGCTACTTGGGAAGCTGAGGCAGGAGAATCCCTTTAACCCGGAAGGTGGAGGTTGCAGTGAGCCGAGATCACACCACTACACTCCAGCCTAAGCCTAGGTGACAGAGTAAGACTCCATATCAAAAAAAAAAAAAAAAAGGAAAGGAAAGGTGTTTAATTGGCTAATTGGCTCACAGTTCCACAGGCTGTACAGGAAGCATGATACTGGCATGTGCTTGCCTTCTGGGGAAGCCTCAGGAAGCTTCCAATCATGGGTGAAGGCAAAGGGGGAGCCAGAACATCTTACATGGCAGGAGCAGGAGCAAGACAGAGTGGTCGGGTGCTGCCACACACTTTTTTTTTTTCTTTTTTTTTTGAGATGGAGTCTTGCTCTGTCACCCAGGTTAGAGTGCAGTGGCGCGATCTCAGCTCACTGCAAGCTCTGCCTCCCGGGTTCATGCCATTCTCCTGCCTCAGCCTCCCGAGTAGCTGGGATTACAGACACCCACCACCATTCCCGGCTAATTTTTTGTATTGTTAGTAGAGATGGCGTTTCACTGTGTTAGCCAGAATGGTCTCGAACTCCAACCTTGTGATCCGCCCACCTAGACCTCCCAAAGTGCTGAGATTACAGGTGTGAGCCACCACGCCCGGCTGGTGCCACACACTTTTAAACAACTGGATCTCATGAGAACTCACTCACTATAACAAGAAGAGCACCAAGGGGATGGTGCTAACCCATTCGTGAGAAACAACCCCTAGTATAATCATCTCCCACCAGGCCCCACCTCCAACACTGGGGATTACAAATTTGACATGAGATTTAGGTGGGAACACAGATCCAAACCATATCACCAGCAATCTTAGTTTTTTATCTCCAGCCACAGTTTCTCCTCTGAACTCCACAATGAATCAGCTGCCTACACAGCGCTCATCTGGGATGTACCACAGTATGTGCATCTAAACACATTCAGAATCAGCATCTCCCCTGAGGCCTAGGCATCCTTCAGCCTTCCCTGTCTTGGTGAAGAACATCACCACCCAACCAGTTGTAGCGACCACCTACCTCCTACAGCCTCCCACTACCAATAAAACAGCAAGCCCAGCAGTGTCTACTACCTAAATCACAAAATCTCTCCAATTTCCCTCTGCCTCCCTAGCCCAAATCCCCATAGCTCTCAATGGACCCTTGCAAAAGTCTCATTAGTTTCCCCGAATCTGCTCTTTCTTTGTACTAATCCATGCTCCTCATTGCAGCTGGAGTGACATTTTAAAAATGCTACTTTCTCCTTTAACTCCTTTGCTGAAAGATTTCCAATATCTCTCCACTTAAAAAAAAAATATTAAGTTATTGGCCAGGCACAGTGGCTCACTCCTATAATCCCAGCACTTTGAGAGGCTCAGGCGTGCAGATCAGGATTCAAGACTAGCCTGACCAATATGGTGAAACCCCATCTCCACAAAAAATACAAAAATTAGCCAGGCATGGTGGTACATGCCTGTAATCCCAGCTACCCAGCAGGCTGAGGCAGAAGAATTGCTTGAACCTGGGAGGCGGAGGTTGCAGTGAGCTGAGATCACGCCACTGCCTCCTGGGCAACAGAGTGAGACTCCATCTCAAAAAAAAAAAAAAAAAATTATATATATATATATATATACTAACACTTATGGAAAACTTATGTTCTAAGGGCTGTTCTAAGAACTTTACACGTATTAACTCATTTAATCCTCACAACTCTAAATATTCCCATTATACAGACAAGGAAACAGAAACTCAGAGAAGCAACTTCAGGGCCTTTGTGTAAGCTCTTACCCATCCTTGGCTTGTTGACCTGGCTGACTGCTATTCAGACTTCAGATGGGATGCCTTGGGGAGCATTCAAAGATCTCCCTCTCTAGGTCAGACCCTCGCATAGCATCTAGCACAGTTTTTATTATGTAATTATTTAGGGGGTCATTTGGTTCACGTCTGTCACCCCCATAGGCTTTAAATTCCATGTTTTGCTCATAATTATATCTTGAATATTCAACATATAATAAATACTTAATATTTGTTGAATTAATCGATAAAAAGCATTTTCAGTAGGAGAGGGGATGTGGTCAGATTTGCTTTAGAAGGATGTCTCTTGTGTAAAAGTTTGAAGGTGGGGAGACCAAGTCACCAACAGCAGCTGAATTCAGGAGTGACAGGAAGGCAGGCTGGACTAGAGGAGAGGCAAGAGGGATGGAGAGAAGTGGGTGAACCCAGGAAGTATTTAGGAAGCATAGTGGATGGCACTGATAATTAAGTGGATAGAAGTGAGGAAGAGGAAGGAATCAGGAGGGACTCCAAGTTTCTGAGAGCACTTTGAACTGGAGTGAGGAAGCATCTGCAAAAGAGGCAGGTTGGGTTGGCAGAGCAGGCTGTCCGTAGACCCAAGCAACTGAAACATGGAAAAGCTCTCAAAAAAATCTTTGCACCCAAACTCCTTAGCTTGGTCCTGGTGTACTTTATTCTGCCCCATCTGTGGTCTACCCCCAAACTCAGCACATAGATCACTGCTCCTCCCCTAAACCCCACCTGTCGTCCAGTCCACCTTAGTAAGTGCCACCCCACTACTCTCTCTCCACAAGATGCAGCTTGGAGGATGTCTCCTCTGGGATCCCTCCCCGCTGCCCCACCCCTTCACAGGGTGAATGAGTCCTCTGTAGCTATCAGGATTTGCTGTATCAGGAGTGTTCCTCTGCTGTCACCTGTGATGACCATTTTCCTCAATTCAGAATCCCCAGCACCTGCAAAAGGCCTGGATCAAGGTAAACCTCAAAAACGTTTGTTTCACTGAATTTTCCCAAAGACTTGGCTTTACTACATTAAGAGCTGAGGCAAGGAATGTGGCAGTAAATCCTGGTGCCACCACTTAGAGATTAGATAAGTCACTTTTTTCAAGCCTCAGTTTCCGTCCATCAAATGGAGATAAGAATACAGTGGACCTACCTCGAAGAGTTGTTTTGAGGGGAAAATGAAATATGCTAGGTTAAGTGTTTAACACAATGCCTGGAACATGGTTAGTTCCCTCAAAAAATTAGCTGTTATTTATTTACTTTTAAATTCTCGCCTTGATACTCAGAAGGGGCATGAGCAGGAACAGAGGATTGCAGTTCTTAGGATGGCCACGCGAGGGAAGTGGTGAGCAGCCTCCAGGAGGACTTCGGATCTGCTGTGCCAAGGCACCTGCTGAGGACCCAGATGGCCCGCCTGGGGTTTCCGGGGCTTCCCGGCCCCTGAACATGTGGGCGCAGGCCAGAGCGCCGCAGGAGAAGCCTCTTCCAGGTGCTCGGTCTCGACTCTCACAGCCCCAGCCATCCCTCCTGCTTGTCCCCGTCTTGGCTTGGAGGGGCTGGAGGGCAGGAGGGGACAGAGTGGGGGCCAACCAGGATATATCCCCTCCATTTTGTCATTTGTCTTTCAAACTGGTTTATGGCTATTTCTTCTGTATAGAAGTCTTGTAGTCAAACATTTCCATGTTTTCTCTTATGGCTTCTAGGTTTCATCATGCTTAGAAAGTCTTTTCCATCTCCAAGATAATTAAAATATTCACTTGTCTCTTTTCTGATACATTATAGTGTTAAATATGTGCTCCACCTGGAATTTATTTCAGTGTGCAAAAAGGGCACAGCTTATTGTAATTTCCCCAAAAGACTTGCTGGTTATTCCACCCATTTGATCTCCCCCCTCCAACCCCCTACCAACATCCCCCCCCCCCCGCCATTTGTCTGAAGTGCTGTCTTTTATTCATTCATTCATTTAGAGACAAGGTCTTGCTCTGTTGCCCAGGCTGGAGTGTAGTGGCGTGATCACAGCTCACTGCAGCCTTGACGTCCCAGGCTCAGGTAATCCTCCCACTTCAGCCTCCCTGGTACTTGGGACTACAGGTGTATGCAACCATGCTCAGATAATTTTTTTTTTTTTTTTTTTGATACAGAGTCTAACTCTGTCACCAGGCTGGAGTGAAGTGGGGCGATCTCAGCTCACTGCAACCTCCATCTCCTGGGTTCAAGCGATTCTCCTGCCTCAGTCTCCCAAGTAGCTGGGACCACAGGTGCACGCCACCATGCCCAGCTAATTTTTGTATTTTTAGTAGAGACAGGATTTCACCATGTTGGCTAGGATGGTCTCAATCTCTTGACCTCGTGATCCACCTGCCTCAGCCTCCCAAAATGCTAGGATTACAGGCGTGAGCCATCGCCCCCAGCCACAATTTTTGTATTTTTTATAGAGACAAAGTTTTGCCATGTTGCCCAGGCTAGTCTCAAGCACTCCGCCCGCCTCGACCTCCCAAAGTGTTGAGATTACTGGCATGAGCCACTGTGCCGGGCCTAAAGTGCTATCTTTATTATACATTGAATTCCCTTGCGGGGCTAGATCCATTTCTGTACTCCATTTTGTTCCACAGATTGGTCTAGTCCTGCTTCAATACCGTACTGCTTCAAACACATTGACTTTAGAGTATGTTTTAGTATTGGGTAAGACAAATCCCTTTTCATTACTTTTCTTCCTGGACTTTTTATTCCTGTATGTTTATTCTTCTATATACACTTAAGAATCAACCCCCTCTCCACCCACCTCCCATCCAATCCTTCTGGTAACCAATATAGAACTTTGAAGATACTGAAATTATATGCAAAATGTACATTGCACATCTCCAGAGAGATAGTGCAAAGTTTTCATCAGATGTGCAAAGGGAGCCCCTGGTCTACCTGTCTCTGTGAAAGGGGCCAGGGAGGAGCACACAGGAAGCCTGATTCCTCTCTGTGCTCCCACTCCTCACCTCCACCCTCGTTCCAGGTCCTACCCTGGCCTCCATCCTGCCTCCCCTAATCTAGTCCCCCTTGCTGCTCCAGAGCAACCATTCCACCACCCAGGCCCTAGTTCCAGGCCTAGGCTTAAGGTAGAATAGCTGATAACAAAGCTTTAATTAATATGTAAATATAATCAGGAGCCCCAGCTCCACCTCTGACCAGCTATGGAACCCACTTTGAGGCTTTTCACATTGTAGGGCCTCAGTTTATGCTTCTCACAGACCAGGTGAGAAGGGAAGGCATAGGATGACTATGCCTCCTAGCAATCACCAGGAGGATCCTTTAATCCCAGTAATTTTCCTTTTTCTCCCCACCATCCCACTCCCCATTTACTTTTTTTTTTTTTTTTTGAGACAGAGTTCCCCCGTCACTCAGGCTGAGTGCAGTGGTGCGACCTTGGCTCACTGCAACCCTCTGCCTCCGGGGTTCAAGTGATTCTTGTACCTCAGCCTCCCAAGTAGCTGGGACTATAGGCGTGGGCCACCACACCTGGCTAATTTTTGTGTTTTTAGTAGAGATGGGGTTTCACCATATTGGCCAGACTGATCTCAAACTCCTGGCCTCAAGTGATCCGCCCACCTTGGCCTCCCAAAACACTGGTACAGGCGTGAGCCACCGCACCCAGCCCCCATTTACATTTTAATTCATGCCCTCAGCAGGGAGACTACTGGTTTTACATGCCTCCAGCAAATATTAATTATTCTGTCCTCTCTGTCAATGAGTGGAATTCAAAATACTGGAGCCCAAGAGTAGAACTGGCCAGTCCTAAGCAAGGTTAAATAGACAAGTTGGGGCAGGCATGACCCTAGGAAAGACTTTACACAGTATCCTCCTGGGCTTCAGAACCCAGGACTTCAGGAGTCCATTTGGAAGTTTATATAGGCAGATGCCAGGCCCTAGAACAGAGTTTCTCAACCTCAGAAACCTGCTGACATTTTGGGCCTGACAATTCTCTGGCGCGGGAGCTGCCCTGTGCATTGAAGGCGTGTAGCAGCATCCCTGGTCTCTTCTCATGAGACGTCAGTAGCAACCTCCTCGTTGGGAAAATCAAAAATGTCTCCAGACATGGTCGAATGTTCCCTGGGGGGCAAAATCGCCCCAAGTTTAAAACCATTGCTCTAAGAGAGCGCAGGGGAAGCAGGTTAACTTGGGCTTCAGGGCCGGCCACTCTACTTCCTTCTGTCTGAAAGGGACATTATAAAGTCTTTCTCTTCATACCAGGCACTGGGGGAAGTCTTTTCTCCTCTCTGAGCTTCAGTTTTTCCATCTGTAAAATGGACTTGACGTTTGTAAGTCGTTTCTTCTTCTCTTACCATCTGACGTTCCTGGAACTGGTTCAGGGTAGGGCAGGGGGCGCCGCGGTGCCTGTGAGGTCCTGGGAGGTGCCCCAAAGAAAAGGAAGGATGAGAAAGAACAGATGGGGTGGTGGTGGAGAGGGGAGGCCGGGCAGGAGGCAGGAGCGTCCTAGGGACACGGAGAGGCCTGAGGCTTCCCCAGACCCCGCTTTTTGGAGGCCTCATTAATGTAGATCTCCCTCAACCCGGCAAGCCAAACTCCCCGGATTCCCCTAGGCCCCGCCCACCACCGAGGCCCGGCCCCCATTGGCCCCGCCCATCAACGCGACCCCGCCCCCAGCAGGCCCCGCCTCCCCTTCGCCTCCCGCCAGCCCGAGCTTGGGCTTTGCACCCGGCGGCGACTGAAAACCGTGGCTGCTGCGGAGCCGGCAGCGCAGGCGGGCGGAGCGGAGCTGCCCCCGTGGTGGCGGGCGATGCCCCCGTGAGCCTCCCTCGCCGCCCCTCCCCGCCCCGCGTGCCTACCCACTCGGAGTCCGCGCCCGCCTGGGGCCGGGCCGCGCCTACTGCCGGGTCCGCGGGGCGGGGTCCCGGGGCAGCACCTGCCCCGCCTTGCGGAGCCGCCTCGGCCTGCGGAGCCCCCCTCCCTATCTGGACCCGGGCCCCACCTCCGGGTAAGTCAGCAGGCCTTGCTCGCCTGGGAGTGGACGTGGGGAGGGGGCTGCAGAGGTCTGGAGGACCACGGGGGGAGGGGGGCTCTGGCCATGAAGCGCAACGTAGGGATGTGAGTGTGCCGGGGCGGGGGTGGGGGGATGAACACAGGGTGTGAGAGGGCTCTGGGGAGGGGGCTAAGGGGTGAGAGAGGAACGTGGGGTGTTTGGGGAAGCCTGGAAAATGGGGAAGGGAGGCCAGAGTCTTGAGTTCTTTGCTGATGCTCAGAGCTCCTGGGGCCCTGGTCTTCAACAGCATTGCCTGGCATGGCATTTTTGGAAAGTGCTTAAAATCCCTCCTGGAAAGGGAGCTGGAAGGCAGCCTGCCTTTCTCCCTTCTGCCTGTGCCCTGGTTGAGAAGCAGCCACTTTTTCCTCCCAACGTGACACCGTTGTGGTGCCCAGAGGACCCCCTCTGCCCCATAAGAGAAAAGGAGTGCTGCTTACTCCAGCCCTGGGGTGGGAAGAGGGGTCTTTGGGAAGCTGGGAAAGCAGTTGGTCAGCAGCATGGTGCAGAGCCCAGGGTTCAGGGAGGCTTGGCAAAACCCTTGATGGCCAACTTGGGCATGCTCTCATTCATAGGGAGGACCTCTTCCCTCACTGGCCACCTGGGTATTTGGACCCCATGTCCGCATTACCTCTGGACAACTCAGCCCTGAGGAGTGGGTTTCTTCAGTGTCCTGGTCCCGAAGGCTCAGGAAGGATCCTGGAATGGGGTGGGCAGTGGCATACCAAGGCTGGAGAACAGGGGGCATTGGCTGGCACTGCCACCTAGGGCCTGTTTGAATGTGGCCCTTCAGGGCTTGGACGCCTGGATGAATATCAGTGTCCAACCCTAGCCCCAGGGGTGTTATCAGGATGTAGGGAAAAGGCTGCTGCCCCTTTGGTCCTGTCCTCTATCCATGATGACTTCTTAAGTCTGGGTTCCTTGGGTTTGGGGCCTGAAGTCATGGGAGGAGGATTGGTCCTGGTCAACAAGGGGTTAATCAGCCATCTCCCCGCCGCGCCCCCCCCAATAGTTGCTGCTAGTCACCAATTAGTCTGTAATTAGGCAGCTGCCAACTGTCCCTGGGGGCATGTGGGTAGCCTAATGGGGCATTCTTGGTTGGGGGGCAGGGTAGGTGGGTTGGCAGGGGTGTGCTGGGGAGGTGGCCCATGCAACCTGTGCTTAAACCAAGCACTATGCCCTTTGGTGTTTGTTTAGGGCCCACAGACCCCTTCCCTGCCTTCTGTTCCCGATTGCCTTGCTTAGGGACTTCCAGCCCTGGGGTTCTACACTTAGCCGACCCTTTGCAGGGTGTGAAGCCCAGAGTTGGTTAAACTTGGCTTCAAACCCAAGCTCTGCCACTTTCTGGCTGTGTGATATTGAGGAAATCACTTCCCCTCTCTGAGACTCTCAGTAAAACAAACCCAGCTGCTATGTGGGTAGCAGGAAGGAATGAGTGAAATGGTGGATTTGAGCTGCGCAGCACAGTGCCTGGCACTCAGGAGGGCTCAGCAGCTAACTGCTGAACTCATTAACAACCCCTGTGCCAAGTACTTGCTGGGGCGGGCGTGCAGGAGCCAGGTGCTGAGGACCCAGCAGGGACCACAGTCCCTTCTCCCAGGGCATGTGGTCTGTGTTACTGTCTTAACTATTCTCTCTCCCTCCCTCCTTGCTCAACGACGCTTCTGGTCTCTGGACTTTAATTGGATTTTACTGCGCAGAACCCAGGCCCAAAGCTGCTACTCTCTGGGCTTCCCAACTTCCTGCCCAAGTGCTGAGCTCTG